ATTTTTAAGCTCGACCAGACACGCTTAAAAAAATCAGTCCACGTTTGTACTGCAATCGTAGTGTTTGTTTTATTAAAACTAAATTAACTCATTTTTGTTCGTTTTTAGTTGTGGCGATGAATAATAAGATTGTTTAATTAATTATTGCGTCGTGACCTGTGGAATTCTGTATTATTTTCGCACGGAATACACTCATGAGCAAAATTATTGCATATTTGTATTGTTTGAAGTATATTTTAAAAACGCACATGTATTTTGGACAATATTACCATCTACAACTTGAAACAAATTACGTTCGTTGTACAACTTGATATATTTTATATATATAATATTTTTAAAAATTTGATTTGATGACATTTTACTTTTGCTCGCGAGTATATAATAACTAATAGTGGTACAATTCGAACCTTGAAAAATAATTGTCGGTAATCAAATAATTGTTGTGTTAAGGGGCCTATCTTTCCGCGTGGGCAACATACAACATGCACTAAGTTGATATTCATTTCTCTCTCTCCCATACTTTAATATATTCTCTATGCAGTCGGTGTGTTAACGGTTCTTCTGATAAGTTGGGACGTTTTGTACCTATTGAATATTTCTCTAACTGTTCAGAGATATTGTCTATAATAGTGTGTTGGTGATGTTTTAAATAGTTTTCTGTTTGGATATCTGCGATATATGTAAGTTATACTGAAGAAATTAGTTTTATCTGAATTACTATGAAATACTGTTATTTGTCTGTAATTTGTTGACAACGCTTCAGTTGAAACAGTATTACAATATACAAGGTGTCTTAAAATTCCATAATATTCTCATACAATCGTTAAAATAAAGTGCCCTTTTTGTAAAATAAATTATTTTATTATCTTTATACAAAAGTAATAATCGTTTCTCTTTTTGATTTCGCCGTAGTAGGGCAGTTAACAAGATTAAACTGATAAAGCGTTAAAAATGTTGCGTACAGTGCCCATAAAACATTCTCTTCTCTTTTACTATGAAAAACTGCTTCTATATCGATTGTTAGTCTTTTTTAAGAGATACATTTTGATTTACACAAAAAAATTTGAGATTTTAACGCGGGTAGATTCCCAAGTTAGAAATTCTAACAGGAATTCCAATAAATACAACTGTCACTTTTTGTACCTTTTACATTTTCCGTGTAAGAATTTTTAATACTTTGTGATAATATTTTGCAATTATAGTAATAAAAAATATCAAGGGATAAAATATTTTCTTAAAATAATAACGGGCAATGTTAATGGTGAAACTTACGACAAAAATATTTATTGGGATGGTTACGATATTTTCGTATAGATGTCGCTTTATACAAATATTTAATTTAAATAATTTTTAGATAATAATAAGTAGGTTTTTGTCGTAGAAAATGTGTAGTATGCAACTCGTTCATAAACTTTTCTAGGCACTGATTTAATTAAGCACTCGCTCGTGCCTAAATTAAATTATTGCCTAAAATGGCGTTTATCAAACTTGCTACATAATAAACTATTTAAGATCAACGTGTGAACAAATCATAAAATATCCGCTAGTAGGTAAATAAACAATTAAAGAAAATATGCGGTTTTTCATACCTATTAAATGATTCACGTATCAATTAAATATACATATTTATTACCATAAATCTTTTTTTACTAAGAACAATTAAATTATTTACTGTTAATTTTATTATAATGATATTTTTTATATATATCTTGATTACAAAATTGGTTTAAACTTCTTCCAAGGGAGTAAATTGGTTTAATATTGTACACTCGATGAGTACTTTGTTTAACCAAAAATTTATTACAATACAGTGTTAATAATACCTATAGATGCTAGTAGGTGCTTTGGAAAATTCTATTTAAATGTACCTATTTTTTATTATTAAAAGAAAATACATTAACCAAAAATATTTATTACAATTTTAAATTATAGTACGAAAAATTTACGAAAAAATTTCATTAATTCCTGTGAATTTTTATTTTTGTATTAATTTATTTTAAACCTTTTCCTTAATACTATATAAATTCAATCTAACATTTTTAAAAAAGCGCCATCTATGGTTTTTTACTTAGAAAAAAAAAGTTTGTAGATTTTTTTTATTTTTAATATTGGTGCCTTCCACAGTCAAAATTTAAAATTTCGAAAAATGTTAAATTTTTATTTAAATAAATACAGTTAAAAATATCAATAAATTAAAAATATAATAAATATGAAAATTGTTATTAAATGTACAAAATATTTTCCACCCTTCGTACTTCATATTTTTAAATTTATTTCTTATTATAAAAAAAAACACAAATAACAATTACCCAAAAATATAAATATTATATTTAATAGGTACCACAGGGCTCCCAGCAGGTAGTTTTTTTAAAGACTTGTCTATATTTTTGTCTTAAGTCTATAAAAGTCTATTTTTTTACCTAAAGTCTATAAAGTCTATATTTTCTGTTAAAATCAACTATTAAAAATATTTTTTTAAATATAAATATTCACAGTTTTATAAATATCGAAACCACAGTAAACCAAGTGAAACATTCGAAAACTTCGCAGTTTACATTTAAAGTTCCCGCCGCGGCGCGCCGTCCAGACCCGAACCGCCCGCCAAAATTATTGCTGAATTGTTTCTGGTTTGGTCTAGGGTTTCGTTTACGTTTATAGTTTCGGTTCGCTAGGTTAACACTAGCTATATATGCATTTTTCATGAAATTAGTAAGTACCTAGTATCTATCAAAGAACATGTGACAAAGAATGTGTTCCTATTCTATGTTTTATCATCCATTCCATAACCCTAAAAAATTATGTTCAGACGATAGCAAAGGCAAGTGTATAACTATAGTTTTGATTATTAAAAATTATACATTTATATTATTTAATAAAAACAAAGTTTAAATGTACTTGTACTGACATAAAAAAATTAAATTGAATGATTAAGGAAGTGTGCCGAAAATAAAAAAATGACTAAAATATGTATGGCTCAACTAATGTTTGAAGGAGTGAACCATCCCAAAAAAGAAGCGGGGAAGGTAACTTACAAGATTAGTCGTCTAGCCCAAGATTTAGAAAAACATAAGGCGAATATTATAGATCAGCTGCAGCCCACCAAAAAAAAAAACCCATTAAATGACTGATGCCAGTGCCTTTTATATAAATGTGATTCTATTTATTATAAGTTATAATTTATTACAGAATTTAATTTTTTTTTGTTATTTATGTATTTTATAACAGTTATGGTTACTTGTTAAATTTAATTCAATAAAAATTTATAATTTCAAGTTATCTCTATGTATTTTAAATTCAAATTTAGATCTTTTATCCCAAAAAAAAATGGATACCTCCATTTTATAGTTATTTCGGTAATTAATTTGGTCTATATTTGGTCGTTTATTTTTTATTATTAGTCTCTTAAGTCACTATTTCTCGCAACATGGACTGCTGGGAGCCCTGAGGTACCATTTAAATGTAATATTAATATTAAAAAAAAATTGTGACCAATTTTATAATTAAATCACTGCAACAATGCAGAGTGCAACAGTAGTAATTAAATGGTATGATGCAACAACGTTGTAACCGCCAATACAACAATTTCAATTAATGTCTTTTTCTCTTTTTATTTATATTGCGAATTTTGTTTTTGTTTAAATTTAAAATTTTATAAATAATTAATAAAATGTATAGCATCCAAATATGGCACACCGCATTTTAATAAATGCAAATGGCACAACACAAACTCAAACACAAACAAAACAAGTTAACGCAATACAAAAACAATAAGTTTAGCACAAACAGAACAGGTTAACAATACAATGACAATAATTTAAACACTGAAAAGTAATTCGAACCTTATTATCGCAAAAACAAGTTAAAAAACATCCACCTTACCGATTTAAAAATAATTCAACGAGTGACGTCGTTCCCGCTAAATTAGCCCCGCCCTACATGCGCACCATCCTATCTTAAGGTGCAGGTATGTGTAGGGTTGGGAAAATTTCACTTTTTGCTTGTACTTGAAATTTTCATGACATTTATGAAATTTATCAAAATTTCCTAAATTTCTGAAATTTCATGAAATTTATGAAATTTATTGAAACTTTCAATAAATTTCAATCACTTTAAGTGTAATATATTAATATTGAAATAAGCCCACTCGGGGACCATGGCAAATTGCCTCTCTTACCTCCTACCCCTCTGTGGGCCCCTGCACCAATAATATAAATAGTAAATACCTACCCATGTTTACCACAAATTTTTTGAGATTTCCTTTTAAAATATTTTTAAAATTACTAAAACTAAGAGAGATATAGCACTTTTTGGTAAGCTAATGATATTGTGTCACTTTCATTGTTTTATATTTATATATATTTATTTATTTTTAAATATTTTACTGAAATATACGAAAATTGAAGACACTATCAAAATTTTATGAGTCAAAGGCATTTTTTATCCGTTTCCGATGCAATTATAGCAAAAGTAAAAGTTTAAATTAATCATGACTTTTAAAAAAAATTTAAAGTTGATTTAATTTACAAATTAAATTGGTAACAGAATTAAATTATTTAAATTAATTTATGCATATAAGTAACAATAATTACTTATAGTGTATTCAAATCCAAGCCGAACTAAACAAAAACGCCCAGACGCTTGATAACTCGTTCTTATTGGTCGATTCGGAATCTGTTGTAAATTATTATTAAAGGTCCCAGGGGAGGCCGCATGTGAAATTTATGCGAAATTTTCAGTTAAATGCGAAACTTTCAATGAAATTTCTGAAACTTTCACAGGCAATGTTGAAATTTTTAAAAATTTCACTTTTCCAACTAAATGAAATATTTCATGTTTGAAACTTTCGAAGTTGAAATTTTCATTTGAAAATTTTAACTGTCCCAATCCTAGGTATGTGTATTAAATATTGTACCTACCTTCAATCTTATGACTTACTGTACATTTGTTTTAACAATTTACAACAAATAATTGAATACTAAAAACATTTTTTCGATTTTCAGAGGCTCTGCTGCAGAGCAGGCCGCTCCCCCACATCCCCTCTCTGCCGGAGACCGACCCCCCGGGCACGTGCGCCACTGGAGGGAGCGCGGGAGGCACTCTGGCATCGTCGGTCGGCACAGTGGGCACGCTTTCGGGCTCCTCGACCAGCGGCGTGCCGTCCACGCCGATGTCGCTCGAAACGGCCAACCGGTGGACCTCCAAGGAGAACCTCCTCGCGCAGGAGGAGGACGACCCACAGCTTTTCGTGGCCCTCTACGACTTCCAAGCCGGCGGCGACAACCAACTGAGTCTCAAGAAGGGTGAGTCTCAGTTTTCCTGTTGGGGAACTTAATCCCCAAGTAGCATTTTTGGTGGATGAAACTATCGACCCCTTATACTTGGAACTGTAAAGTATTGCCTAAATCTCTGCCACACTCAAATAAATTTCATTGGTAAAATCAACTAAATAATAAATTTTCTATCAAAATTCTAAGTAAAAACAAACATTAAAAAATTGTTAAAATTTAGATTATTTTAGTTGAAACAATAATTAATATGGTATATAAACTACACAAATTTAGTTAATTTACAATACTTTAGTCAAAACAACTATGTTGTGAATAACTAATTGGTCAAATTAACAATAAAATTGTTAATAAGACTATTTAAAATAATAAAAATAACAATTTAAGTGCTTAGGCTACCTACCTTATATTGTTAAAAATAACATTTTTTAATAGTTAAAGTAGCAATTTAAAATACCTATTTTTAGTAGTTCAAATAACCATAAAAACAAATTAAAACGACTATATTTAGTTTGAAAAACTATATAACACAGGCAAAATAATCGATCTACATAAATTTTAGATAAATTTCAATCGCAAATAACTTTTTTATTTGATGTCGGATTTAAACAAATATTAAAGAATATTGTAGATAAATTAATAGAGAATCGCTCACATTTTAAAAAATTGCTAAAAAATGGATGTACGTTATAATTTACAGGTTTAAACAAAAAGAAGTTTTTTACCATAAGTTTAAGTCGCATCATTTCCACAAAAAGAAATATATCAAGGTAAACCAAAAACAAAACTGTTAAAAATAGATGTGACTTGATGATTAAAACTTAATTTAGAACAATCTGCAGTTTTGCCACTCTACAGAGTGTGTTAAACTTATGGTAAAAAACATATTTTGTTTAAACCTGTATATTATAAACGTAAGTCTATTTTTTAGTAATTTTTAAAATATGAGCGATTCTCCATTAATTTATCTACAATATTCTTTATTATTTGTTTAAATCCGAAATCAAATAAAAAAGTTATTTGCGATTAAAATTCATCGAAAATTTGTGTGGATCGACTATTTTGCCTGTGAGTGTATTTTAGGATTACTATTTTAAAAAGTAGTTTAAATTGTTAGAATTACTATTTTAGTTTAGGAAGTTAGGGAAGTTCAGTATTTACAAACAATTTAAATGATTTTTAAATTTATATTTAAATTAAATAATATTACTAACATGTAAATGGCCGTACATATATTAATAGCTACATATACATATTATAATAATACCTAAACATTTTATGGTCCTTGGACAAAAATTTTTTATATAGGCAAAATGTAAATTTTGCTCTTTTTAAATAGACATAAATAACTTTTTCTTTAAATTAATTTATTAAGACATAATATTTAAAACAACTTTTTCTGAATGAAAACTTAACATTTTAATTGTCAAATTACAATTTTAATGTTATAAATGATTATCCTAACTGTCCTAACATTTATTTTCCTACAATGGCAACTATTTGTAAAGATGTCTGCTTTTAAAGAAGGGAACTTTAAAGTGATAATCCTATGCAAAACGCGGAAATCACTTAAGCAAGTAGCAAGAACGTGGCAATGACCACCGCAATTATATAATCAAGTTCTGCAAGGTTTGGGAAAACGTTGTCAAAACTAGTATACTCACTTTACTACTACTACCACTTCAAAGTATTACTACTAGTATTATTACTAGTTTAGGCAACTTTAAGGTGGTGTCAAAAGTGGTCACAACATTTCAGATACCAGACTGATTTGCCAAAATGTTATAAAACTATGGTTGGTGTAAATCACATGTATACAACTATGCTAATATAATATAAAGAAATGTTAACTGTTTCGTCGTAGATTTAGTTATTTTAACGTAATTGCCACTCATTTGAAGTTGCGATATCAGTTTTCGTCACTATAATGCTACTTTGGAAGATCTCTTACATTTAATATTTTTAGGTGAGCAAGTAAGGATTCTGAGCTACAACAAGAGCGGCGAATGGTGCGAAGCCCACTCCCAGAAGAACCAAGTGGGCTGGGTACCGTCGAACTACGTGACCCCGGTGAACTCCCTGGAGAAGCACTCGTGGTACCATGGCCCCATATCGCGAAACGCCGCCGAATATTTGCTGAGTTCCGGCATAAACGGAAGTTTTCTCGTGAGAGAATCGGAAAGTAGCCCGGGCCAAAGAAGCATTTCCTTGCGATACGAGGGTAGAGTTTATCATTATAGAATCAACGAGGATTCGGACGGGAAAGTGTTCGTCACAACGGAAAGCAAGTTTAACACCCTGGCGGAGCTGGTACACCACCATTCCATGCTGTCGGACGGCCTCATAACCCAACTTCTGTACCCAGCGCCCAAGCACAACAAACCCACGGTGTTCCCGTTGAGCCCGGAACCTGACCAATGGGAGATAAACAGGACTGACATTGTGATGAGGCACAAACTGGGCGGAGGGCAATACGGCGACGTGTACGAAGCGGTGTGGAAGAAGTACAACATGACCGTGGCGGTGAAAACCCTGAAAGAGGACACCATGGCTTTAAAGGACTTCTTGGAGGAAGCCGCGATCATGAAGGAGATGAAGCACCCGAATCTAGTCCAATTGATGGGGGTTTGCACCAGGGAGCCGCCGTTTTACATCATCACCGAGTTCATGAGCAAAGGAAATTTGCTGGATTACTTGAGGAATGGCAATAAGGAGATCAACGCGGTTGTACTTATGTATATCGCCACGCAGATTGCTAGTGGTATGAGTTATTTGGAGAGTAGGAACTTCATTCATCGAGATTTGGCTGCCAGGAATTGTTTGGTTGGAGAGAATCACCTGGTAAGTAACAGAAGAACTTCTCTTTTAACTAGATCAAATCAAATCAAATCAAATATGCTTTATTGTAGGTACTTAAATTACATACAATAGGAGGACGTTTAGGTTTCCCTATCTTCCACCGTCTCCTTATTTTAATTGTGTACAAAAATTAAAAATTAACAATATCTATTTAAATAATAATCTTTAACAAAATTTAAAAAGTTTTTCTCTGTTAAATTTATATTCAGAATTACTCTATTTAATAGTTTTGACGCAACATATACAAATGATCCCTCAAATTTATGAGTGTTATGCTGTGGAATGTTAAAAGTATTATGTCTAACATTAACTGTATGTACATCAGATCTCCGTATAAGCAAATTGTACAAATATAAAGGCTTTTGATTTTTAAGTAAATTGTAAAGAAATATTGTTGCCAAGTAGTTTGTTCTGTTTTCAATTTTCATTTCGTTTAAATTGACAATGTAAGGGGTTATGTGATCTCTGAAAGGAACATTTCTGACAAAGCGAATGCACGCATTTTGTATTCGTTGGAGTTTTAGCTGATTATATTGTGGTAAAGAGAAATAGTAAACAAAGGAACAATAATCAATGTGAGGCATGACCAACGCCTTAATCAAATTTAGTTTGGTTTTATCCCCAAAAATATATTTGAATTTATACAAACTTCTTAGATATGGCAAAATTCCCATTTTTTTTATTGCGGTAATAAGTTTTTTAGTGCCAAATATGTAACACTTTTTTCCAAATTTTGTTAAGAAAAAATAAAAAATAAATGTTTATGCATTATATGTTAAAACTTAAAAAATAAACTGTTAACTATAAGAAATTCACTACCAGTGAATCACTCGATATTACATAAAAAAATATAAAGGACAAGTAACTATATAGGAATATTAAAAAGTAAATGATACCAAAAATAGTTTTGCAGTTCTGACCAATAAAATATGAAAAAAAAACTACAGCCGAAATAAAATCAACATTTTTGACTACCATTACCTATAAAAAAACAATTGCAAAAGCAAAAAACACAAATTAGGAATTTTTTCAAACCAATGTGCATTGACCATGGTCTTTTTTGCACTTTTGTAATAATTCCAAATATATTTTTTTTCTTGGCATTGTACTGTACCTATTAATAAACAACAAAAACGTTAGAATGATTTTAACCATGGTACAAGAAAACAAGTTACCGCCATCTTAGTTCATTCCCGCTTTTAAATTTAAATGATATTTTAAATTTAAATATTATTCTCTCATCCAAATTTTTATAAAATTATTCGATTTTTAGATTAAATTGTCGAATAATTTGAAGATCACACGTAAACTATTTTTTTTTTCAATATTTCAATCAAATAAAATATATTGTTTTAAAGTAAATAATATTTACTAAATAGGTACCAAAGAAAATATATAAAAAAGAAAAATTTAATTTTAGTTTTAAGGTTAAATGTTTTAATTTTAAACATTTAAATAATGCTTTTTCAAATAAAATATCTTGTTTTAAAGTCAATAAAATAAAATATTCTGTTTTAAAGCAATGAAAGAAAAATGTAAACAAACAAATTTAAATTTATTTATTACAAAATTGTATTTACAAAAAATTGCAATTAAGGTTTAGTTGCCAAATAACAACCCAAAATGGGTCACCATGTAGCCAAAATTGAATAAACAAACTAAACTTGAGAAAAATATTATATTATGGTATGGTACAAGCCGGTTTTCCAAAGCTTTTGGGATGTTTTAACCCCGGGCCATTTCATTATCAGCAGCATGCTACAGTTTAAGTTTCTGTTATGGACTGTCCTTGAAGATCATTAGCTTCCTTCTCTTGGCACATTTCCTGCAAAGAAAGATTTAATTTTTATTAATTTTATTTTTAAATTTTACTTTAATTTTTTACACTGCAGTACTTGATTTCTTAGAGTTTGAGTTTCTGTTTTAAAGGCTGTCTTCAAAGATCATATTATGCTTCCTGGTTTTGTGCTATTTCTTGTACACTGTAAAAAGAACTATGATTTATATTTTTTTACAGTTTTATTTTAATTTTTTACAAAGTACTTGATTTCTCTTTTGATAGATCAGCTGAAGTGTAAAGTTGGAACCATACTGATATTTAAGACTTTTTTATGGGAATGTAATTAGTATGTTTTTTTGATAAAATTTTCCTTCCTATAGCAACTATCTTCAAAGTAAATGGAACAAATACAAGCTATAACAAAAAACAATAAAATATTTTTTTATTTATATGTATATCTGTCACAGATAATCTGTGTATACAAAAAGAAAGTACCTCTAAAAAAAGACTGCTATAGTTGTCGCGGCAAATGTTTCAAATTGCGTCATCAAATTCTGAACCAAGCACAGACATTAATTCTTATTAATTATAATTAATTACAATAATTATTGTTGTTTTCTTTTACGTATATAATCCAAGGAACCGCTAGGTTAACCGTATGTCGAGAAATCGGGTTTTGACATTCGACATTGATGACGCAATTTGAAACATTGGCCGCGACGACTATATTTAACTTAACATCAATTTTTTCAAGCCCATGTATTGGATTTTGGTTTTTTTTCTTTTGCAATGTTTTCAGATTTTCACTTGGCAGGTAGACATTTTTTACACTTACAAAATAGCTTAAAAAACAACTCACCTCTAAATGTAAATAGTCAATATGGCGGCGACTGGGTGCTCCCACCTCTTCGCTAATCTGATGGGGTGGTGGAAACAGATGCCTTGTTTTCTTGTACCATGATTTTAACTTTGTTTATTGTTTTTATTTTATTTTTGCAATGATTTGTGAATTGTGATGATGAGATCTTTAACAAACTAATAGAACACTACTACTTAACACAAAATAACTTTTTATTCAGTTTCTTGGCCTTAACTTGGCGGGAATGTTTGCGGTAACTTTAAAAGAAACTTTCAAAATAAAAATAAATTCCCGACTGGAAAGTTTCCGATTTCCATCTCCACTTTTAACCCCCGAATAACTTGATAATCTTTTAGGTGAAAGTGGCCGACTTTGGTTTGGCAAGACTGATGCGTGACGACACGTACACCGCTCACGCTGGCGCCAAGTTCCCCATAAAGTGGACAGCCCCCGAAGGCCTGGCCTACAACAAATTCTCGACGAAATCGGACGTCTGGGCTTTCGGAATACTTTTGTGGGAGATCGCCACCTACGGCATGTCCCCCTATCCGGGGGTGGATCTCACCGACGTCTATCACATGTTGGAGAAGGGGTACAGGATGGAGTGCCCCCCCGGGTGCCCCCCCAAAATATACGAGCTGATGCGGCAGTGCTGGCAGTGGCATGCCAACGAACGGCCGACGTTTAAGGAGATACACCACTCGTTGGAGAATATGTTTCAAGAGTCTAGTATTACAGAAGGTACGTGGAGTTTTTTGGTTGCATATAACTAATAGTTTTCTTAGCGTGTTCATTCATTAGCTTGCAAGTTTTGGACGTCATTATTAATAGTGCATTTATTTTCTAACAAAAACCTTTTTTTAACGCAGAGGTAGAAAAACAACTGCTGGTGAACGAACCGCCACCAGTCCCTTTAGGCACACCGCACATGTCATACAAAAAATCTCATTCCGGTAGTACGGGAAACATACACGGATTGGTCGGTGTCTCCGACCAATCGACGACAGGTAAAGTTAAACACAAACAAATCACCAAAATAGGTTCTTTTTTAATTTATTTATTTAGATATGATGATGGCCAAACTCTCAACTTTTACTGGTGTCTCAAAAAACGTGCAAATGCGAAGAACTACAAATAAGAAGGGCAAGACTGCGCCGGCGCCCCCTAAAAGAACCAGGTTTGTGCAAATCCTTTGAAAAAATCCTTTTCCATACATTATACATTAGATAACAAATATTTACACCGTTTTTACTATGTTATAAGGTTTAATTAAACTACAACATTTACTAAAACTATAAGAAGGTGTCTAATTTCAAAACTACAACATTTACTAAAACCAAAAGAAGGTGTCTAATTTCTCCAAAAGTTGTAACTGTCTAACAAATTATAATAATAATAATTATTGCCCTAAAACCAGGTTATTTTAAAAACTAAACTTTTGCTTTCTCATCTACAATCCCTGTCCAATTTATTAGACTCGCTTACACATTTTCAATTTGTGAAATAGTTGATATTTTCTTTTAAAAATTATTTTTGAGGTGAAAAAGTGTTTTTTAAATAGAATCGCTCTAAAAACTTTTTAGGATGAAAAGACATTTTTTACAATTGGCCATTGTAAACACAAAAAAAAACATAATAAATAAATTGAAATTCATTGATTACTGCAAATTTGCCCTTAATTGTAAAAGACATTTCCATAGAGTCTTTTCTATTGTCTTATACCTGAGTTGAGCAGAAGTTTGCATCATTACTTTCTTCATAGGCTTTTTCTAAATATTCTGGAAACAGTTCCAATTTTTTTTTACAAATAATGGCGGCAAAGTCTACACCCCTTTCTACACCGCACTTTACGCTTTCGCTTGATAAAGTTTCATGCTAAATAGGCATGATACAAAGTATCATTGTATTATGCTAAATAAGTGTATATAAGATTATATTAAAATCTTTACATTAATTTTGTTCAAGCTTTTAATGTAAAAATCAGTTTAATGTTCTACATATATTTAAGTAGATATAATTCATATTATGGGGTTTAAAAGAGGATAACTTAAGACACCTTCCTTCTCTCTCCTACTAACCATTCACATCGTTCTAATCAATGCAACGTGACGCATTTTGGGTTGCAGCTTGCTATCTTCTTGCAGTTCCTTCCGCGACAGCACGTTCGACGCAGAGGGCCATGGAGGCGGCGGCGACATGGGCGACGACGGCGCCGACTTAAACGGTATTATTAAAAAACGATTTAAAGGTATTTTTACTTTCTATTGCCCTAGGCATGGGAACTGTGTCACCAGATCAATTCTGACTAACAAAGCAACCAAGGTGGTGATCATTACTTACTCTACTCATATTATTAACACTGAATGTTTTAAAAATACCTTGCATTTTTACTTATTTTAAACATACAAGGTGTTCCACAATTCCATTTTATGAAATCTTAGTTATTAACAACCAAATCTTTTTTCCCAAGGCAATTGTGGAACACTTAGTATAATAGTGCTTTTATATCTATACTATTAATACTACATATCTTTAATTATACAGGGTGTCACACAATTGCTGTAATGATTTTTTTTAGTACAATTTTTATGCAGCAATAATTGTAGAACACCCAGTGTATTGATGCTTTTAATTTAAGATTTTTTTAACAATTTTTTTTTGCCTAATAACCAATACAGGATATTTTATTTCTGGCGAGTATTTTTTGTGTTAAATGGTTTTTAAAATTGATTTAAAACTTATTACTAGGATTTTAAAGTTTCCGGAAAAATTGAGCCAACGAAAAAAAAAACAGAAAAATTAGGTAATTTTTAGAAATTTTTTTTTAATTTTATTTAGGTAATACGGAAAATGCAAAAGTCAAAAATTTTTACGGATACTATCTGTACACTGATATCGAGAAAAAAGTAAATTTCTGACGCTAAATATAATCATAATATTATGAGTATAATAATTACCTAGTCCTTTTATTTTAATTCAGGAAGAATATTCTAAAAACATATTCGGGTGTTTAAATTAAATTTAGAGCTCATATTTTCATTTTGCAAAAAAAATTCGCTTTTTTTTTTAATACCCTTGTATTAACATAACTTTCGTTTTATTTGACAATGGTAATTTACCTTTATAAATCATTCATTATTTTGTTTAGTTTTATTTTTTTTTCTGTAAGGATATTTTTTTAAATAAAAGTTGTTGATTGATACTTTTTTCAAATGTGTGTATATTTTCAAATAAAAAATCAATTTTTCCGATGCCTGGGAAAAAAACAGGTTTTTTTCCAATTTTTCCGTTTCTTTTTCGACACTTTAACTAATAATAATAATAATGAAATTTGAAACAAATCGTTTTAAAATGTATTTAAAATGTATTTAAAAAATAATCGCCGTAGTTTTTCTACACTATAAACGTCATAATACAACAAGTGTTTCATAAACAAGATCTTGTAGGCTTGACAAGAGATCTACAAAACTTGACGGCAAGCACAAAAGGCGATAGCGAAAGCGACGTGCAAGATCAAACTCCGGACACGGACGATTCCGGTGCGCATTCGTACCCGGAAGTGTCCCTAGCTAGCAGTCTTGGAGGCGGCACAGGGTCCTTCAAGAGAGCCCCTATAGGGGGCAGCAGAGTGCTTGAATCGCGCGGCAAACGTACCAAAGGAAAAGACAGCTCTCCAGCAGTAAGTTATTTTTGCTTTTGCACTAGGAGAAGCATTCCTGGACGTTTACTTGACACTTTTAGGTTCAGGTGGCTGCTCTGGAGGTACAGAACGTCCGCAAAGCTATCAGTAGATACGGTACTTTACCGAAAGGTGCCAGGATTGGAGCGTATTTGGAATCCTTGCAGCAAATAAGTTCGGCCTCCAATCAGGAAGAAGCCCCAGCTCAGGCTTTCAATCCCGCCTTGGAGCACTCTGAGATCATACCTAGATCCCTATCGCCTAGAACCAGCTTGAGAACGCAACCTCAAATGATTAGAAGTAATTCTTCCAGCGGGGTTACCACTTTTCACGCCACCCATCCTCCCAGTTCTCCAACGTCTTCAAAATTGTCCAGGAATAGGAACATAACTAGAAACAACTCTGGAGCTGGCGATATGAGAAGTAGCCTGAGGACTTTTAAGAGCCAACAGAGTAATAATATTAGAGGTAAAGATCTTTTGGACACTTCTAACTTAGAATATTTTATTGTTTCGACCTTTACTTGATGAAACTCCATGTCACTAATGTATAACTAGATAAAAACAAACACTGTTTTTTGAGTTTCACGAATTTATTTCAATTTTATTTTGACAATTGATTCATTTCTGAAGAAACTACTGTGTTAGTGAAACAATTGTCAAAATAAAATTGAAATAAATTCGTGAAACTCAAAAAACAGTGTTTGTTTTTATCTAGTTATACATTTCTAACTACAGGGCTCCCACACCTCCTAAAATTCATAAAATTCCTAAAATTTGGCTTAAATCTTAAAAACTCCTAAAATTGCCACCAATCTCCTAAAACTCCTAAAAATTAAATATAAGTAGGCCAACTTGACTGCGTTTAATTAAGGTAGTTGTGCTAAAAAAATTCTTTTTTAAAAAGTTATTTAAAAAATATATATTTTTGGGTTCAAGTTTATTAAATTCTTTTTAAAATGATATAGGTATCACAACCTACATTTTTCTTAAAAAAACAACAAAATATACCATAAAACAAAATCCATATTTCGTTAATTTTAGACAAAAATATACCGTGTTATATATCAAGCAAAAGGATTTTTAATTTTCTTTTAAATGATAGCTAAAATAGTAAACAATCTAAAGAATGTTTTGCTGCATCATGCACTTTATATTTTTTCTATTATGAGATTTTTTAGTAACAATAACATTACAATTATTGTTAGTTATTAACTAAACTGCAAATTTTTTTTTTCAAAATATAAATATAACATCATTAAACTTTGGCCTACTTTTTTAGCCATATCGACGCTTTTTTTTTAATTTCTACTTGTGTATATACCATATATGTATATACAAAAGTAGTAATTTTACTTTCCATTTTATTAAAAAAAAACTCGTCGAGCGATTTGGCTAAAAAAATTACTCAATATAACCTATTTGTACAAAAGAAGTGATATTAATTTATATTTTTGTTAAAAAGAATTACTTACTTTGTTCTTATTTTTTATGTATAGTGTAGAGTTGTTTTTATTTAATTAAATAAATTCATTTGCATACTTTTTTCTCCTAAAATTCTCCAAAAAAACCTCCTAAATTCCTAAATAAAATTTGTAATTTAACCGTGGGAGCCCTGTAACTAAGAAATATATGATTTTGATTATTTCAGGTGGTAGTCCTAACAGATCAGTGCAGCCCACCCTGGCAGACTTGGAGTTTCCTCCACCTCCAACGGACCTGCCGCCGCCACCCGAGGAGTTCGACACCGTGGACTGCAGCAGTTTGATCATAACCGACCTGAAGAAGAAAATCAACCCCTCGTCGCCGCTGACCTCGAAAAAGATCGACGTCAGCACGCTTCAGCCTTCGGTGGAGGAGGCTAGCTCGCGTTTCGGGGTCAGCTTGAAGAAGCGGGAGGCTAGCGACGCCACCAATGGGGTCAAGGAGAGAGATTTCGACGGTGTGAGTAAGGAGAAGAGCCCGCAGAGGTCGAGCTTGAGTTTCACCAGCCCTAGTCAGGACGGAAAAAGTCCCTTAAGCGTTGATTCCGATGTTCCTATGGTCGGCTCGCCCCTCGAGCCGCTCCCGCCGCCCCCTGTTCTCTCCGACAACCGTAAGTACTTTATTTTGGACAAAAATAACATTTACCATTTGTCCAAAATTGAATAAACATTATTGAAATATAACCATATTCGAATTATTTACATAGAGTTTGCACTTTTAGAAAAAAATTCAAAGTTTATGTACAAGTAGCAAAATTTAACTTTTTGTTTATTTTTGGACTTTTAACTTAATAATAACACTGGTCTGCAACGAAATCCTCCTTCAAAAAATTACATCATAAATATGAAGATTTTGAATTTGTTCCCGTATAAGTATTTTATGTGTAGTTTATGTAAAACTTAGGCCATAGTATTTTTTTACTTTTTTGTAATTGTTGTTACTTTAATAATATCGTTTTTTATTAAATGGACAAAATATTTAAAACTATGTGCTGTATTCATTTGCATGTTAAATTCCATGTTTAGAGCACCAAATATAATGTTATCATGTATGAAAACAATGAGGAGAAAAAAAAATATTTTTTTTGCAGACCATTGTAATTAATAGGGTATATTGTAGTAACATGCAATTAATTTTGAGGAAATAGTTTTATGTTGTTTATTTCTTAATTACTGTGTGGATTGTAAATTACCGAAGTTTTTGGTGCAAATTTTAAATTTATGGCACGCCATTTTAATGTTTTATAGTTTTTCTAACTAAAAATTTTAGGTTTTCCACAGTTCACTTCTGTATTAAACAATATTATTTCCCACCAATTTTTGCAAAAATTTGCAACTATCTTTTTTTAATAAAAATTATTTATTAATTAATTAATTTATTTGGGTAGAATTTTGTAAATCTTAGATAATTATTTTATAAAATTATTTAGATTAAATTGGTCTAGTCATTTAAAATAAAAATATTTTCTAACAATAAACATAGTTTAAAAATTTAATTTTGTTAGTAGTTAAAACAATTGAAAATTAAAAAATGTTTAAATATAAAATGTAAAAGTTTAGGTTTAAAAATATTGATTTTTAAAAATTTATATAAATATTTCATTCTACAAAATTATCGGTTTAAATTTGTCGATAAATTTTTAATACAAAAACTTATACACTACATTCAAATGTTAGTTTTAAATTTTAAAGTGGTAATTTTTGGATTAAAAATGTATCAACTATCATTTAAATGACTCTTGAAAAATTAAAACCGATAACTTTTATTTTTAACAAATTTAAATTGATACATTTTTAACACATTACATTTAAATGTATGTCGATCATTTTTAATTCACAAATTGTAAACGCCGTCTGCTAAAGCTACGTTTACACTTTGTAAATTAAAAATTATACTTACATTTAAATGTAAAGTTATAAATTTTGTGTTAAAAATTTATCAATATAAAATTGTTAAAAATAAAAAGTTTTAGTTTTTTGACTCTATAAATTTGAAACATCATTAAAGTGCTAACCTTTTATCTCAAACTATTATGTAATAAATGCTAAAACGGCGTGCCATAGAATTTTACAGTGTGATGTTGCTGTAACCAAAATGCTATTTTCTTGGGTTTACAATTCTGTTTCTGTTATACCATACCATTTTTGGATTTTTACCTTATTCATAGCTTATAGAATAGATATTGTAGTATTTTTATGATGTTTAGTGTCAGAAAACTCCTAGGAACCAAATAACCATTCTTTCATCATTTCTTGGTAAAAATCTGCCACCAATAAATGTATTTTCGGAGATATATTTACGCATGTTGATTAAAGTAATAAAAGAAATGTCCAAAAGTGCAATGTAAAAGAATAGAACAAATACCAATAATTGCATAATTCAATACAATACAATAAATGAAAACAGTTTCATCAGCCTAAGAAATTGGCATATGGACTACATTGAAATCACAGTCAAAATCAAAAATTTTCCTCGAATTGGATTGTAAATTTATTGAATAATTTAATATTAAAAAATAAAAAAAAAGTTAAATTTTGCTACTTGTAAATAAACGGTCATAACTTGTTTTCATCGCATATGGTCATATTTTGACACCTTATATTCGTTTCTGGCGAAAAGGAAAATGTTGCAATGTTTAAAAACGCATTTTCAGAAGACGACGATTTTGACGAGAAGGAGAACAGAGGCGGCGGCGACGACGAGAAGTCGAGGCTGTTCAAAAACCGGCGCGTGCGCGAAATGGAACTGAAACTCGTGGCGGAAATCAAGGAGAAAGCCGACCAGAAAAACAAACTACCCAAAGAATCTCCGCTGGAATCCCTTTTGGCTGTGAGTGGCATCAGCCACGACCCTGTAGCTCAACTCGTCTCCGAGCTATCTCAAACGTTGCACGTGGAAAAAGAGGGCATCGCGAGGAAAAACAGCGTCGCCGCGCCTCTGTCGGCGAAGGAGAACAACGGCACCGCGGCGTTCGCGAAGAAAAAGCCGCCCGCGACCAAAGAACCCGACTCGAACGACATCTTCAACTTCAAATCCAGGCTGCGGAAGGTCGAGAAGGAGGACAACAAAAACGATCAAGCGAAAACGGTCGAAGACAACTCCGAGTGCGACACGAACAAGCGCGAAAGCACGGCCAGCAGCGACAGCGGGAACGCCAAGTTGGAGGAGGGGGAGGACAAGAGAAAAAGTACTGGTAGCATAAGTAGCCTTAAGAAGTTGTGGGAGAGTAAAGATCCGACTGATAATGGAGGAAATGTACAGCTCAGTCCCAAGTTGTCGGTCAAGAATAACAATAAGAATGACGAGATTATCGAAAAGTAAGTCCAGTTTTATTTTATCACGTTTTTGCTACCATTTTAAAGCATCAAAATCACATTGTAGATTGTTAATTTTTTTTAAATTTTAGTCTATTAAATCTAAAAAATAATTTATCTACTCCCCCATTCATAAGATGTGACTTTATGGCTTTTTAGTTAAGGGTTGAAGTTAGCTTTATTATAAGTTGGGAAAAAACAATTATTTCAATTAAATATTTGTATAAAGCGACATCTACATATACGAAAATGAAGTAACCATTCCAATAAACATTTTTGACGTAATTTTTATCATTACTATAATTGCAAAATATTATTAAGTATTAAAAATTCTTACACGGGAAATGTTAAAGGTACAAAATGTGAGTTTATTTATTGGAATTCCCGTTAGAATTTCAAATTTTTCTGTGTAAATATTTACCCCTTGAAAATAGATTAACAAACGATATACAAGCAGTTTTTCAAAGTAAAAAAAAAGAGAATGTTTTATGGGCACTGTACGAAAATTGTTTAACGCTTTATCAGTTAAATCTAGTTAATTCTAGTTAATACCTACAATGGCAAAATTAAAATATATATATCATATATAATCTTTTCAAAAAGGTATTGGCGTCAAGAAACTATTTAATACTTTTGTATTTTGGTATTGAGATAATAATAACTTCAGCCCGTGAATAAAAGCCTGTTGCTAACTTCAGCCCGTGACTAAAGCGCCATAAAGTAACAACTTGTCAATGTGTGTTTAAAAGGTCACTTAGTATCATGGAAATATGTACGTTTTAAAGGTGGGAATAGACATTTTGCAAATTTGAAAAATATATCTGTACCATTGAGTAAAGAAGTGGGGAAGAGGCGTGGTCTAATGTATTTAAAATAACTCCAAAATCGATCCTCGTTGTTAGAGGCGCCACCGTCGATCTTATCTTGAGATTTAAATTCTAAATTAGAGTGAGACCGTTAGAGTGAGACAGTAAGAAACGCGTCGTCATCAGCATCCCCACTTTCTATGCAATGCGCGGCGGCCGCCGGTCGCATGCATCGTGAAGGTCGACTAGATTAAATTTAATTCAGTTTGCACAAAGCAATTGCTGAAGTAGGTTGTTGTACTTAATTCGTTAGCGAAAATGAATAATTTACCTACAAATACTTGTTTATATAACAAATGTTTTAAAAAAAAAGGCAAAACCAGCTTTGTATTGTTCCAATTTCCAATAAAAGACACCGAACGGTGTGAAATTTGGAAGAAAAATTCCGGAAATCAACTTTTATTGGATTTAGATTATAATGATCTAAAATTTAAATGTATTTGTGAAAAACATTTTTTGCCGAAGGACATTCTTACAAGCCTTTTTTAATAATTAATTCTTTAAACGCATTAAACAATTACTTTTATATTCTTTATGTAAATAAATCATTACAGGTGCGTGAAAATATATTTATTAATTTTTAAGTGAAAATAAAGATAAAACTACAAAAAAAACAATATAATTTGATTTGTTTTGTTTATCTTAAAATGACATTGTTATTTTCAAAAATCTTGCAATAGGCATTCACTTAACGGTATTTGCTTAATGTTTTTGATGTTTATATTTCAAACTATTCAAATGTGTTGCTTAATATTTTGTTTTTGGTGATTTAATTTAAAAAAATGCTACATACTAATCGGCAACCAAATTTTGTTTTAGTTTTGAAATAGACACACCCGTGCGCACGGGGGGTTTGGGGGTTTAAAATTTAAACCCCCGGGGTTTTAAAAGAATATTAATAATTTTTTAAAATTATTTTGAACAAAATTCCTCTTCCGGTTTTAACAGAAGCGATTGTTTATTAATTTAAAAAGGGGGTTTAAAATTTAAACCCCCGGGGTTTTAAAAGAATATTAATAATTTTTTAAAATTATTTTGAACAAAATTCCTCTTCCGGTTTTAACAGAAGCGATTGTTTATTAATTTAAAAAGTAATATTTAATACATAATAGGAATTGTACAATATCTTTGTTATTATTAACTTTAGGTTATACCATATATGGTATAGGAAATGGTTATATCAATGAAAAGGTACAGGGCGTTGCATTAAAAATAAAAAAGTTATTGCTAAATAGTAGTCATAGAATTTGAAAATAAGGCACTTACGTGTTGTTAATTAAATGGTCATTATGTTGTTGAAAATGACAAAAATTTGAAAACTCTGGGGTATATATATATTACAATTTTGGAGCTGCTTGAGAAATATTAAAAAATAATTTAATTTTTGTAAAGAATAATATATATATACAGTGCTTGCAAATCCAAGTCCGACCACACTGGAAAGGACGGCTGTTCAATACCCACGTGAAAAGAACAAGGATAGAACGCCAAATAGAATTTGATTGGCCAGAGCCGGCTGCCGGATGCGTGCGAATTGTAAGCGAGGTCAACTCTCAGTCTGGCTGCATTTAGACTAAATGATTTAGTGTCAAGCAAACTGCGTAAGAGTGTAGATGCACATTTTAATTTTCTTTTTAAATATTTTATAGGTACCCGAATCCTAAAAATAAAATTTTTTGATTTTTTCCTTGAGAACTAGGGCAACAACAAAAATAGTATTCTTAATAAAAAAGATTTCTCAAATAAAAAATAATTCTGAATAAAAATAACTAGGTATAAATAAAAATAAAACTCTAAATAAAAATAAAACTCTAAAAATAAATAATAAAAATAAATAAACTCAAAAATTATTAACGGTTCGTCGAATTGTTTCTCTGTTTGGTCTGGCCTCGAACATTCCCGCAAATAATCTTTGAATTTCTCGTTCAGAATTACCAGCAAAATGCCAGATTAAAATCTGAACTTTTTGTTCTAACGTGTACATTTTTTAATTAAATAATCTTTTTCACTAAAATTACTACCTCTTGCTCGCACCACTGCAGTTCTCGTTCTGATATCCTCGTGTCAACCACGCTGCGAGGTGCGCGATGGGTATGCGTTGTCGTAGCCTGCCGGCTGGCCAATCAAATTCTATTTGGCGTTCTATCCTTGTTCTTTTCACGCGGGTATTGAACAGCCGTCCTTTCCAGTGCGGTCGGAGTTGATATTGCAAGCACTGTATATGTATATATGAGAAAAAAAAATCGGCAAAATGTTAGTGTTTTTAAAATTTGTCTTTTAATTTAATACTTTTAAATAGTTAGTTAATTTTTAAGTAGAAAAATTTAAATTTATTTATTATTTAATATATTCCAAAAAAACTACCTTTTTTTAAATAAAATTTGCATAAAAAAGTATAAGATTTCTTGAAATTCATCATTGGATATTTTGATAACAAAAATTAGGGATTTGTTTAATCTTATTTTATTTACAAACAATTCTAAAAAAATCGATTAGTTTAGAAAAATCATAATTATCTAACGTAATAAGGGCCGTTCATAAATGATGTCACACACTTAGGGAGGAGGAAGGGGTCGTCGTATACAGGGGAACCCAACAAAGTATCCAACAACACTTTGACAGATGTCAAGTGAACAGGTGACATATGTCAAGTGACAGATGTCAAGTTAACAGATGACATATGGTAGGTGATGTATGACAGGTGGCAGATGACAAATGACAGGTGACAGATGATAAATGGCAGGTGAGAGATTACAGGTGACAGATGCATGGTGCTGTTCTGAGAGGTGATTTTTGGACTTTCTGTGAAACCTAATTTTTTTTATATTCTTGTTAATTAGGTCATAACATAAATTTTAAGAGCAAAATAAAAAAAATTTGACGGTTAATTTTGTTTTAATTGTATGTTTATTAAAAATATGTAGGTATGCACACTTTCAATTCTCCAATTAAAACTTGCGATTTTATTTAAATATTACCATAACTTTTTAAATCAGATTAAAGATTAGGCCCGATAAACTTTACTAAAGATGAATAAACCGGTCCTTCGTTAAATTTCATGAATTTCTTTGTAACTTTTACTACAATTTTTCATTTTTGTTTATAAAAAACACTTTAAAAAACTAAACAAAAATTATAGAATACGTATACTGAAAATGACAATTCAAACGTCAAATAAATTTGTAATAGATCTAAGTTTCATGGCAACCTTTAAGGATATATTAATTAAGGGAACATAAATGTATACGTCAAAGGTTATATTAAAAATTGAACGTTTATTGCAACAAAACAGTAAAATATATAAAAAAAATTGTAAAAACCTTTTTTTTTAGTTATGCAATTATTAAATATTTAAATTAAATCGCTAGTTTTAATTGGATAATTGTAAGAGTGCATAATATTTTAAAAATATCAAAAAAACGTGTGACATCATTTATGGACGGCCCCTAAGATACTCAATGATTTAATATTAAAAAATAATAATACGTGTAAAATTTTTACCTGTCAAACAAAAAATATACCACAGACAAATTTAAATTTTTTAAAATTTGCATATCTACTCTTGACTATAACTTGATAACATGATTGGTTTTAATTTTTTTTTAATTTAATATTTTTTAAATTTGCAGATACTGAAGAAAATTTTAGTGTCTTAAGGGAAACAAATGTAAAAACCTATGAGATTAACAGGCAAAATATTGAGAATGAAAATTTTGTAGATAATTTAGATAGCCCAGAAAGACCAAACTCTGTACTTAGTGACCGATATTTAAATATGCCATCACCAGAAAAAACTTGTTTGAGAAAAAATAACAAAGAAATGTCCTGTAAAATAATAAAATTACGGAAAAAAATTAAATGCAAATTACAACAAGTTAAAAGATTAAAAAATAAAAATAAAAACAACCATTTTTCAATCAAAGAAATTTTAAATAATTTATTGAGCAATAAGAGTCATTTTTTAAAAACTTTTATTTTAATGCAGCTTTTTCATAATTAATGCATTTACATTACATTTGTACAAAACATGATAATTTTTGAAAGAAAGAATTACAAGTAAACATTTCCATTTCTTTGCCAATAAAAATTAAAATAGTTTCAGTTACACTCACATTAATAATATCTTGGGCAGCCTGT